GCAAAGGCACAAAATAAAACATCCGGCTTCTTTTCAAAATAAAACACTCCATGTTTCAGGTGGATCGTATTTCACACCATGCAAACGGGCGAGGACGAACAGGTTAAAGGTTTTTCAACAGCATTTCCGCCCCCTTACACCATGGATGAGGAAATGCTGATTCTAGTCTAGAAGTGGATTTCCTCCCCTGGAAGGACACAATCTACTCCTTATATGGTTATGTGGTTGTCTATGTAGAGAAAACTTGTTATTGCACTATTGCACATGAATCCGTGGGTTTTTGTGAGTTCTTGCGATTCCCGCTGTCCATAATCTGCCACGAAATTCGCCTCACAAACGGATCTGGTAGGAATTGGCGAACAACGAAAATTGCCACTGTTCTGGATCGGAGCCATTCCAATTGCGGTGAAAATTGGGAGTAAAGGTTTGGCAATCTGAAACAGTTGTTGATCCTAACTAAGCAGCAACGTCAGAGTTAAAGATTCAGAGGTGCTAAATACTAATAATAATAATAAATAATAAAAAGTTCCTGGACACCAAGTGTCTGTAAGAACACTTCTATGACCTAACAATAATAAGAATACTACCAGCCCAAATAAATAAATAAATAAATGAAATGCTTTTAGTGGACACAGGCCCTAACTGTGCCCATGCCACCTGAGCCAATCCCCCGGACAAGCCCATAAGTGCTTGCCGGTCTAAAGGAATAAAATGCTGAAAATATAAGTACATAGAAAAGTTTTGTTTTTTAGAACCAAATTTATGTTTTTAAAATCAGTTTTCAAAGCTGCTGCTGACCCGTTAACTTTTAACATTCTCTGTTAAATGTCCTTAAACAGAATCAAAAATTAAACTCAAAGAGGAATTTGAATCAATCTTTATCGTCAAGAAAAGAAAATATACCATGAGACTACCTCCATGACAGGAAAACCATCACAAGAGGTCATGGGAGCTGCCAGCGCAGAGTATGCTGTTAGTGGACACAGGCCCTTATCAGGAATGATCTGCTAGAAATATTAATGTATAAAAAGTAAGTCTGCACCATGTGGCTTAAAGTGGTGAGTCATTTCAGTATATTCTAGGACTCTTAAACTGATTTAATGATGGAGTTGCATATAATCAACACCAAGTGAAGTATTCAAGACTGAAGTATCTCTGAACATGAAGGCTCTTTTTTTGGAGTTTGGTCTATTTCTGGATCAGGGGGCTGGATAGAAAATTGCTACAGGCCAGTAAACTAAGAAGAGGTTTCATCCAGCATCTATATTTGAGGATTTGATATTTAAAAAGACCATCAATCTTAAAGAAACAGATCAAATTTATAATCAAAACGACTTTATATGACTCCATTTATCATTGATGCCTCCTCTCTGTTCCCAACAAGGCTGATGAAAATGAAATGAAAACTCTCTTTGATCGGATATTTAAAGTTACAACTTCAGTGGTACTGAGTGAAATGCAAACAGGTTAGAGAAGCTCTTATATATACTGTATATGTGGATGTAATGGAAATGTTGATGTAAAATTTATCACAATATTTCAGAGCATTAAGGAGGCAGACTTCCAAATAAAAATCAAACAAAAATAAAAACTGTTTTTACAGCACTACAAAGAGCATTTAAAAAATACTGAACACTTCATCGCTCATTTCACAATTAGAAAATAATCTTTCATTGGCTGCAACTCCAAAGCTAATGTTTGCTCTCATGCTGCCGTTTTCAACTTTTTGAAGGGCCTGTTATCAGATCTCAGAGATTAATTTGCCCCTTCGATGTTCAGTGTCTGGCATGGAAAATCAAAACCAGCATATGAAGGCTCGCTGGAGGGACACGGCTGCCCTGATGTTGCTGCGGCACATCACTCGCAATGCTAATTGGATGTTTGGACTATTTTTAAAAGGTCCACTGAACCCACGGCCAGCCTTTTTTAGAGAGCGGTTGATAAATAATTAAATCGACACAGATAGAGTGGAAGAATATTTAACTGCTACCCCCATTTAAAGGCTTAGCTTTACAAACCATCAGCTCAATAATCTCTTAATTTAAACATTCCCCTCAATCTCCAAGGCTTAGAGGAAGCAGCATCTGCTCCACACACACGGTCTGCTCGAGAAGATCTTTACAAAAATCCAACCTGAGACATGTTGACATCTGTTCTCCTAATGACTTTCATTCAGCGCCCATTAATTTAAGCACTGCTAAATCAACTAGCGTGGCTCAAACTGTGTTATCACTCACTCTGCTTCTATCACAGATATTTAAAGGGTCTGATCCGTTGCTATAGGTCCCCTGGCCTACATTAAGTCCTCATAAATCCATGTATGTTTGTCATTTATAGATCTCATAGTGAAATCAATGAAAGGGTTCTCAGGGGATTTGTAAGAGGTGGAGCATAATCCAAGAAATATTCAACCATGCTGCTCTGTTTCCTTTCATTACTCATGATACACATCTACAGAAGCATTAACAGCCCTGCTTCATGAATTATAAGCAGCGTAAGAAAAGTCAATAGCCTCTAGCACACCATGTGTTGATGCCGCAGTGATTTGGGATCATGATTTCAACATGAGGGCTTGACAAAGCAGAGAGACAGAGAGTTAAGAGGCTGACCTGATAGCACTGCGATGCCAAAACAGCCGCTTTATTGACAGCAAGGTCCAAACCAGCACAACCATGCCATCCCTGCTGGCTTCATATCATAATCCCCCTCAGGCTTTATCACTTAAATCACCTTATGAGCAAAATCCCATAGGTGGCTCACTGCACCTTTTTTTTCTTTCTCTCTCTCTTTTTTTTTTTTTGTATGTCTGCATGTAAACCTCGCATCCTCTTTCAGCTCCCAGCTGAACAGATTTGGCTCCAGGCCACCAGCTCTGTAAGGGAATATGAATGGCATTAGCTCAGGGGCTGTTGCCATGGTGTTGACTTATTTACTGTACATCAGCCCACTGACTTCAAACAGCGCCGAGCACGTTTTGGCTGCCATATTAGTGTCAGCGTTATCATCCAAAGGACACATTTCCACTGGGTGATTTAAAAAATTAAACGGTGGCAGCTTATGTACAACAAAAAAGTTTGGAGCTAAATGGGAGAAGTCATGTGGGTTGCAGACACACTGGGCAACAGAAAGTGTTAAATGTCATCTTTTTTTTCCAACACTGAAACACTGTCTTTTGGTTTTCTCTTATGTCACAAACACACAGAGAAAAAACATGTTTGTTCAGATGAGATCAGACACAACGATTTGAAAAAAAGACGGTAAAATACGATTTAAGTCTTTGCGTAACCTCCGATTTTTTTGCTTGAATAACATACTGCACATCCCTGAGTAAAATCGGATTTTTTGGGCAGCATCTGTTTTCTTCAGCAGCAGCTGGCCTCGCATTTTAATCAAACCAAACCTGAGATATGTTGCTGACATTTCGATTCTGCAAAATCAAAACGCAGTTTAGGTGAAGGCTGGATTACTAGAGGCCGGATGAAAGTACTGCGAAAATATTTGATCTCTGAGATATTAACTGGTTGTGCAAGATTAATTTAAATGCAGAACAGGGATATTCCACATAAGCCTTTGCAGGGTAGCATGCATGAACGGAGGGAAGGAATCTCTGTTGTGTTGTGGCACCGGCATCGTGATATTATTTGACAAAGAACAACAAATTGTGTCTTGATACTTGAAATAATTGCTCCTATTTTTAAAGCATGTGTAATAAAAATCATATAAAGTTTAAGGACAGAGGATCTGAATATTTATGGTGCATAATGATTGCTGAAATGTAGCTTACTGTAATGGTGCTGTGTTTTGACAGGAATCTGGGAACATACTCCAGATTTCCAGTATAGCATAAGTGTGACAGCCGTTGCATGGATGGGTAAGCTTCGCCTGCCAAAACGTCCTTTGCCGTCACTTCATGAAAAGTTATGCAACAAAAAGAAAAGCTCTTATCTCTACTTTGGGCCAATGAATTATGAGTTATATAAATATATAGTCATCACAAAGAGGGCATAAGAGGACAATGCTAATACTCTCATTTCCCCCCCGATGGATATGCTTAAAAGTATTTTTGCAGGTTTCCTGAGACCTAAAAACATCTTACTTTGGTTGCGATAGAAGAGATTACAGATTATTTTTGCTGAATGCCTGACCTAATGACCCTAAAATAAGTTTGCAGGGCTGTAATAGTATTTGAGCTGAAAGACTTGTGTACTGACAGCCGTCTTTGTAATGTAATGCACAAAAACAGAGTCAGAAGTTGCACAGATTGATCGAGACCAAATCTGCAAACAGTGGTTTAAAGACAAAGTAATCCTAGTCAACGTTAACTCTGTTTATAAGAGCTGTTTTCTTGTAGATTATCTGACTAACCAAAGAAGAAAAGATTAAGTTGATGCACAAATTTGAGCGATAAAACCCCTCCTGGGATTATTTCATAGATGGACTGTGTGAGATCCATCCATAAAAACACAAAAAGTCTAAAAGAAAATAGCTTTTTTTACTTGCATGTAAATAACAGATTGTTCTTCTTGCTCTGTTATAAAACATCCTAATATTTCAGAAACTCTCTCCTAACTCTTGCAATAGCTGGTTGTCACTGGTCAGTATCATATATAAGCCTCAAATCTGCAGCACTTAGATTTTGTTCCTCCTCTTTCTGTCCACCAAGGCTTACATATTTCAAGCAAATAATCATTCTTCCCCACAAAAATAATGATTTAATTTTGACTCTGTGGGGGATGGAAAATGCAAGAGCGTAAAATTGAGTTAAACGGGTTGATTTAGCCGCTGCTTTATTGGCTTTGAAGTACAGTTCATCAAATCCTCTGTAAGTAAATGAGATATTGTTACATCAGAAACTTGGTTGTAAGGCTTTCAAGATAATAGAAATTACACAGCGTACTACAAACGGCTTAAGAGGCAGTGGAGGAGGAGGAGAAGGAGGAAAATATACAGTATACTGTAACAAACTGGAGTTCTATGTAGAGGCAGCAGGGGGCAGTGCTGAGCAGACGTACCAGCAACACTCAGAGAAACGGAAGAAGAAGCAGAAGAAGACGAAGAAGAAGACGTCCACACGTGTTTCCAACATGTCTGCCTACCGATTTGTTGTGCGTTAAGATATCAGAAGCGGCTTTAATCTCAACTTTTATGCTCTGTTATTGAACATACTGTACAATTAAGTTTACCGAGCGTAGTTTTACAGCAGTACGAAAACTTCAGGATGGCGCAGAGGAAGAAAAAACTGACGAAGAAGAAGAGACACACAGCAAACAGAGAGGCGGAGGCTGACTCTGACAGCGGAGACTTTGAGCTGGCTGCTGCTGTGAAAGACGATGATTCTGTGAGTTATAATAAGAGTCACACTATACATTCACTAAATAAGTATTCATTAACTAAATAACAGCAGCTGTGTTAGAGTATAGCTTTTCTCCGGCTGTGTTACAGCGTGAGGGGGTATAGCTCAGTGGTAGAGCATTTGACTGCAGATCAAGAGGTCTCCGGTTCAAATCCGGATGCCCCCTGGATATATTTATCCATCTGAACGCTGATAAAACGTAGATTTAAGACACTTCTCGCAGTGATACATTAATTAAGGCATGTATTCCAGTGGCTTAATCTGAAAATGACAATAATGATACTGATCAATCTACCACCAAACATGTCCTGCTCAGGTCTTCTTATGTAACTTGGGTTTTTGGCCCGTATTGCCTTATAATACATCTGAAAAATCACACTACAAACCCTTCCTTTGGAGTTACTAAGATTTTTAACATTTGGTGGTGCTTGAAAAATTAGAATTCAGGTCCAAGAATTTAGGGCATCCTCACAAACAAGTGGACTGAGGCTGGAGTCAGAGCAGCAAGAGCCACGATGGAAAAATATGTTGAGAAAATGAACTACTAGTAGGGCTGGGTAATATGGAAAAAAGTTTACAGCGATATATATGTTTTCATATCAGTTGATATTAGGGCCCGACCGATAAGGATTTTTTGGGGCCGATGCCGATGCCGATTATTAGGGAGGAAAAAATCTGATTACTAATTAATCAGCCGATTTTAAAATTTTTATGAAGTTTAAAATTTTGTTAATTTAAGTAATATATCAACATATTTACTGACTTATTTTTTTAACAAATGGCTGCTTTTGAGCCTTTCAAACACTTCTCAGCAACATTAACCTCAGTAATATTCCACGTATTTATCATGAATCAAACTCAGACCAGAAAAGTGTTTTCAACTACCCCCCCAACTACTCAACTACTACCCCTGCATTGTGCATGCTCTGCTGCGTGGAACTGCTTCAGGTGGTGAAAAAGATTTTAAGGTATTCCCCGACTTTGTGAGAACATGTACACAACATAATTTGCAGTGCACTTTACTCTGCTTCATGTCCGACCTCAAAAAATCTCCACACCACTGATGTTGTCGTGACAGTGTTGACGACAATGTCATCATCTATTGAGCCTTCATCTGCATTTCTGCCAGGGGTAGCACTCATTTTCCTTTTTTTTTCTCACCGACAGTGCTGTCGGCTTCACGTGTTAAAGTGCTATGTTTGCGTGTGGCTGCAGCCTGCCAGTACGCAGTTGTTTGCTACTTGGTTCTAATTTTGCACGATTGGTTTAGTGCGAAGTGAACCCAGAGCAATTCGGCTATTGGCTATTTGTATAGTCTACCAAAACATTGCAGATGCCGACTATCAAAAAGGATATTGACCATGTTTTATATTGATATTGAGGGGAAATTTTTTGGGTATATATTGTTATCGTTTTATCGTTCAGCCCTAACTACAGGTGTCAGTTCTTGCTGTCGAGACACTTCTGAACCAGAGACATCATACGAGTCTCACCTGCACTTAGACGATCAAAGTTAAATTTGCATCTCATTCGAAAATCAAGGTCCCAGAGTCTTGACAAAGATCTGTGAGGCTCTTCTGAGCAGAATCTGTATTCATTTGATAAGACCTACAAAACTAACCTCTATGCATAGATAAAGTGAATATGGTCATTTTGGCACATTATGTCTGTAATAAACAATTTATTTACTGTTGGCTTTAATTAACTTCCAGCCTGGGAGGAAGCTGCCACGATTCCCTGCCTCCTCAGACTACCAGTCAGATGTGGAGCTGGACACCAGGGGGCTGGTCAGGGCTCAAAATAAGAAAAAGAAGAAGTCTGGAGGCTTCCAGTCCATGGGTAAGTGGAGCATGACGATCAGACTGAGTGTCCTTTGGTTTGATTCTGATCCATTACTTGATGAAGTTTGAAAGTGTGGACGATATTGTTCATCTGCATTACCTTTGACTTCAGGTCTCAGTTACCCTGTTTATAAAGGCGTCATGAAGAAGGGTTACAAAGTCCCCACTCCGATCCAGAGAAAGGTGGGTCAGGATCCTGTAATCTCACCTTTTCATGTTTTGAAAGCTCAGTATTTGATTGTAATCCTCCTCTCCACCCCGTCAGACAATCCCAGTGATTTTGGACGGCAAAGATATAGTGGCCATGGCCAGGACTGGCAGCGGTAAGACTGCTGCTTTCCTGGTGCCCATGTTTGAGAAACTGAAGGCCCCTCAAGCACAGACAGGAGCCCGGGCCCTCATCCTGACCCCCACAAGAGAGCTGGCCCTGCAGACTATGAAGTTCACAAAAGAGGTCAGATGAATAAAGAGCATTTTAGCTGATTTTGGCAAGTTAGAGTCATCATTTCTGTGTCTGTGTGAATATTAAAGTGCCTTAAATGTTTTTTTTTTTTTACAGTTGGGGAAATTCACTGGCCTCAAGACCGCCTTGATCCTTGGTGGGGACAGGTGTGTGACATTTTGAACTGAACTCTGTGATTTTTACACTTACAATTGTGATTCCTAAAGACACTAAATCTAAATGTTTTTGATGTTTTCCAGGATGGACGATCAGTTTGCTGCTCTCCATGAAAACCCTGACATGTGAGTGTTTTCCACTGTGGTTCCATTTTCAGCTCTTCTCTTATAAGCTGTCACCCTCATTTCTTTCTCCCGCTCTCGTAGAATCATCGGTACGCCCGGTCGTCTCATGCACGTCATCAAAGAGATGAACCTGAAGCTGCACGGTGTGGAGTACGTGGTGTTTGACGAGGCCGACAGGTGAGGAAATGTGTCCCGTTTTTTTTTATTTGTTTCACAGCTCTGATGATCTCAGGTGAGCGGACACGGTAACTGAGCTGCCTCTTCCTCCGCTCAGGTTGTTTGAGATGGGGTTCGCGGAGCAACTTCAGGAGATCATTCGGAGGCTTCCAGACACCAGACAGACTCTGCTGTTCTCCGCCACTCTGCCCAAACTGCTGGTGGAGTTTGCCAGAGCAGGTGAGATCAACAGACGCTTCTGTTTATCCATCATAGTTTAAGATGATAAATAATTGATTAATCCAAAAACTAACAAGATAAACTTTGTTAACTTCCAGGGCTGACTGAACCAGTGCTGATTCGTTTGGATGTGGACTCAAAGCTCAGTGACCAAATTAAGGTAAAGAGGGGAGACGGTTTACTAAACATTACTGAATATGTGTTTCTCAGTCCAGGCAAGATTTCCAGGAAGACCAAGTGAAATGATTTATTATAAGGGTTGATACTTGAGAACTGATAGTTAATCAGAGAAATGTGTGTGAATGTCTTCTGAGAAAAGATACTTAGAATGTCCTGTTAGGCACTGTCCACACAAATGCAGATATTTCTGAACGTCGTGTTTGGGTTACGGTACACATGTAAACGGAGTCTTATGTCACTGATCACAGTTTTTAAAAAAACACCGCCCATGGTGGATATTTGCAGGGAATTGATATTTAAAACCCTCTAAAGTTTTTGTCATGTGGATGGCAAAAACTAAACTTTTAGGAAATGTTGACACACTTGGACATGGCGATTCTTCACATGCTCTGTGCATGCACCAGGATGGTAGCCACCACTTTGTTGAGGTTTACTCGGTTCTGTTAGATTCTGCTGTGAGAAACTTTAAGTTTCTGTCAATTTTAGCTAGGGTGACCATACGTCCTCTTTTACCCGGACATGTCCTCTTTTTTAGGGGCTGTCTGGTCTGTCCAGCTTTGTCCGGGGAAGTTTATAAAATCCTTCAAATGTCTGCGGTTTTGTTTTGAAGTTTTGAGTTTGTGTCGTGGACTTACTGAGTTTGAAGCTTGAAAAAACACTCGATCTGACCCGAAAAACTCTCAAAATTAACAAGATTAACTCTGTGACTCCGCCCCCGCGTAGTTGTGTCCTCCTATTGGGGATTCAGAATATGGTCACCCTAGTTTTAGCGCCCCTGCGAAGAGAGCAGTCTTTACTTGTTTTGACCCTACAAGCCTCAGTGGTGTCTTCTTATTTATATATATATATACACATATATGTATATATATGTGTATATATATATATATAAAACATAAGACTGATTTTAAGAGTCAGGGATTTCACCCCCTAGCACAAGTTTCAGGCACTAAAGATTACAATGTAAAGATAACCTGTCGTCCTGGAGACAGTCTTGTTTGCTGTAATGTGAGTTTTAAAAACATCGAAAAACTCCTGACAGGAGCTTTAAAAAGGTGTTTAGAGGTAAATCTTGCTGCTCTTCGTCATTTCAACTCACCAGTTTTGAAACGTACACTTGCAGCCAGGATGGACTGTTCCTCCATGTTTAAAAGTGAATGCCTGTAAATAATGCTTATGAAGAAATCCCAGAAACAACCCTTTTAAGTTGCTTGAGACTTGATCTAGTAGCTGTTACCTGAGACTTGGGAGAATGAACCCAATCTCATTGCCTTGATGGTGATTTTTTTTATAAATGTTGCGTGTACTTGATGATTATGATGATGCATATTGCTCCAACACCTCAAGATCTCAATTTCTCCCATCTCCTCTCAGCTGTCATTATTCCACCTGCGAGTGGACGACAAACCTGCTCTTCTGCTTCATCTTCTGAGGAACGTAGTGAAACCTCAGGAGCAGACTGTGGTTTTTGTCGCCACTAAACACCACGTAGAGTACCTGAAAGAGGTGAGATAGAAACAGCAAAATAAATCCGCTGTCCTAAACTCTACGAAAACACAAGTGGAGACTTTCTCATTTCTTTTCTGCTTGTTCAGCTGCTGTCCTCAGAGGGCGTGGACTGTGCCTACATCTACAGCGCTCTCGATCAGACTGCCAGAAAGATCAACATCGGGAAGTTTGTGCATCGTAAAGCCATGGTGCTGATCGTGACTGACGTAGCTGCTCGTGGTATAGACATCCCCCTGCTGGACAACGTCATCAACTACAACTTCCCCTCCAAGGCTAAGCTATTCCTGCACAGAGTCGGTGAGCTATTCCTGAGAAGCTCTTGAATTGGACTTAATAAAATATCAGATTAAAGTTCAAATGATAAAAAAGGATGAACTATCAGGTCATCGGTCATCGCTTTTCTTCTCTTATCAGGCCGTGTGGGTCGTGCTGGGCGCAGTGGCACAGCCTACAGTATGGTGTGTCAGGATGAGATGCCTTTTGTTTATGACCTCCATCTGTTCCTTGGAAGGCCTGTCCAGTTTGCCACCACTGAGCATGCACAAGGTAGGCTCTGCAGAACTCCATTAAGTCCTCGGATCACTATTTTTCACCTCTTTCTACTAAATTCTGAAAATTTTCCCCCCACAATTCGCCCCGTCCCTTCCAGATACAGAGGGCTTATTTGGCCGTGTCCCTCAGAGTATCCTGGACGACGAAAGCGCCCATCTCATCACGTCTCACGAGAACTCACTAGACCTCCAAAACCTGCACCGTGTGTCCGAGAACGCTTACAAACAGTATCTCAAGTCTCGACCGAACCCTTCAGCTGAGTCCATCAGACGGGTGAAAAGCACGGATCTGTCAAGCATGGCTGTTCATCCATTACTAGGTGAGACTGGAGGGGGATGACCTCTGAGGAGGCGGTGATGATTATCCGCAGAGAGCTGTTGCTGACAGTGTTTGATTGATGTTGTTTCAGGGTCAGGTTTGGAGAAAATGGAGCTGGAGCGCCTTCAGATAGTGGATGCCATCAAAGGATACAAATCCAAATCAGTGAGTTACAGGAGAAGATTATGCAGGTGAAATATTCTTGTAAACTGTAGTAAAACATTATAAATGACCTATTGTATCTTCTCGTAGACCATCTTTGAAATCAACTCGAATAGTAAGACACAAGCGAGTGAGGTGATGCGGGCCAAACGCTCTAAGGACTCACGGCTTGTGGACAAATTTGGCAAACAGAGAGACGACCTGGCTTCTGAAAGCCGACTGCAGGGACATGCCAATCCTGGAAGCGCCGCAGACGATGATTTCACATACTCTACAGGCAAAGACGAGGACGATCTACAGGCAAGGAACTCCTGTTTCAGCAGTTTTATCAAATGAAATCAAAATGTAGCAAAGGGATTCCGGCATACAGTTTTTTGTTCAAGAGAAGCCTTCTTAAATGGGGAGTGGTCGTTTCCCCATGACCAATCCCGTTCTCATGCGTAAACACAGAGGGACAAAATCATCATCGGGTTATTTAACCAAAGAAACGTTTCAAATATATGTTTGATTGCAAGTTGGACAGTGTGCAGGAATCCCTTTGCTACATTTTGAAAAAAAAAGAAAAGACATTTCTTGCCAGATTTGATCAACTTGAACACTCTTTGACACATTGACTAAACTAGATTTCACTTGAGAAGATAATCTTCTTATACCCCCCCCCCCCCATCAAATCAGTCCTAATGAACATTTTCATCTTTGTGTCACAGTCTAAAATAAGTCACACTGGGAGATAAAACAGTCTGTTTTTGGGGGGCTCCAGGAAAGGAAAAGATTCACATGTGAGTGCCTGCAGGAAAATATCTGCAATGTGCAGTTTTTATGTCCGTGTGTAGCTCTGTCTCATACCAAATGTTAATGCCAGCTACCCGCACAGAAGTTGAGCACAGTATATGGTGGGGTTGATAGTTGCTCGGTACAGATGGACTGGAATTGGGGAGACTTTTCAACCAAACTAGCTCTCCTTAAAGTGTGTGTACTTGGTAGCATATCACAGTTTCCTCTCAACACATGACAGCAGGAAAGGTTACAAAGTAGTGCTGCTAGGCCGGTCTGCCTCGCTATGAATCAAGCGGCCTGAGTCTTTGAGCGCAGTCCTCTGGGTTACTGTGGATCTAATGCAATAAAACTCTTCTGTCAGCATGTTTTATATTGTGGTGTATAGATCTTTTATTAGACAGTGAAAAAGACAGTAAAAGTGGGTTCTCTACTCCTGTTTTTACAATAAATGCACTTTCTTGATATGTGCAAACTCTTGTAATTGTAAATGTTGCTCCTTCTCTTGCATACAGCACTGCAAATGCCTCGATTTTATTCACTGATGTCTAGTTCTTCATGTATCCACCAGGGGGTGTTCTCTGAAGTGGTAGGTGGAAAAAGAAGAGGCACGCAGGAAGACGGGGGCGAGCGGCCAAAGAACAAGAGAAGCAAACAGACGGGTAAAGATGAGGAGTATTACATCCCGTACAGACCGAAGGACTTCAACTCTGAGAGAGGGTGAGGAGTCACATACACTTTTTTTAATGTGATGATATAAAAAATGACAAAATTATTCAAATGAACGATCTTGTTTTTATGACCCGTCACTTTTTTTAGGTTAAGTCTAAGTGGAGAGGGCAGCGCCTTTGAAAAGCAGGCCTCCTCTGCTGTCCTGGACCTCATGGGGGACGAAGGAGAGAGGATGAACCAACACAAAAAAATCATGAAATGGTGAAAATTTACATCCAGTCTTTATCTTTCTCATCATGCTTCTGATTTTACTTTTTTATCTCATAATCTGGTGTCTTTCTGTTGTTGTTAGGGACCGTAAGAGAAAGCGCTTTGTTACCGAAACAGGAAAAGAGGACCAGAAGAAGAAGATCAAAACAGATGGTGGTCAAGTCATTAGTATGAAGAAGAACAGGAAGAATTTGTATCCTTACAGGAAAATTCTTATTGTGTACTCATTTGCCATAACTGTTATGTCTCAAAAGAATAAGGTAAAGCTGTATATCTGAGATGTTGCATCACTTAACAAATGTGTCAGCTATGAAGAGTGGAAGAAAAAATACAAGGTGGATGATGCCGGATCAGGGTCGGATGGAGAAACAGGAGGAGGAAGAAGGCTAGGAGGTGGTAAGAGAGCAAGAGGGGTCTCAAGTCTAAAAAAAAAAGAAAACATTTCCTACCTTTTAGTCCAATATTCTTGTCTGTGTCATCCATCCTTCAGGTCGAGGTCGTGGCCGCGGTCGCCGAGGTGCCAACCCCCAGAATCCAAACCACCAGAGGCCTACAGGACCCCAGCAGACGCCCGATGGCCGCAGAGTGCGTTCAGAGCTGAAGTCGCGTGATCAGATCCTGAAGCAAAGGAAGAAACAACAGAAACACAAATTCCTGCAAAGCGGAGGACTGCAAAACCTCCGTAAGAGGAATAAACCGTTTCTCGGAGATGTGAAGAAGTCAGGGTTTGGACGAGGTGGTCAGAAGAAAGGGAAGATGAGGAAGAAACTATGAGCAGGACGAAGACTCTGATCTTCCCAAACCACCGTGTATATGGATGTGAGGATGTAAAGTGTTGAGGAAAGTGGACCTTTCACCTTTCTCCATCATGAACTCTGAAGAGTAAACGATTAACCCTATTTGGTTTTCCTCTTGAAAGTGTGCCTGAGGATAAAATACAGATACAAATAAATCAAGACTGTGTATTGTTTTCATTACATTCAGACACATCCCTCCAAGATTGTGTTTTTCATGTTTATGCCTTTTTACTTGTCAAGATGTTGCTCATATACAGTATATAACCCTATTTGAGCACGTTTTCTCTAAATTAATCGTATCATCACATCACCTGAGAGATTTCATACTCTGAAAAGTCGGCCTGGTTCTCATTGTACAAAACCCAATTCCATTGAAGTTGGGAAATTGTGATAAACTTAAATAAAAACAGAATACAATGATTTGCAAATTCTTTTCAACCTATATTCAGTTGTATACACTACAAAGACAAGATATTTAATGTTCAAACTCAAACTATTTTTTTTTTTGCAAATAATTAACTCAGAATTTCATGGCTGCAACACGTGCCAAAGTAGTTGTTTACCATGTTTACCACTGTGTTGCATCACCTTTCCTTCTAACAACACTCAATAAACGTTTGGGAACTGAGGAGACTAATTGTTGAAGGTGGAATTCTTCCCCATTCTTGCTTGATATTCAGCTTCAGTTGTTCAACAGTCCGCGGTCTCCGTTGTCGTATTTTACGCTTCATAATGCGCCAAACATTTTCACTAGGAGACAGGTCTGGACTGCAGGCAGGCCAGTTGAGTACTCGCACTCTTACTACAAAGCCACACTGTTGTAACACGTGCAGAATGTGGCTTAGCATTGTCTACATGAAAAAGACGTTGCTTGAATGGCAGTATATGTTGCTCCAAAACCTGTATGTACGTTTCAGCATTAATGTTGCCTTCACAGATGTGTAAGTTACCCATGCCTTAGGCACTAATGCACCCCCATATCATCACAGATGCTGGCTTTTGAACTTTGCATCGATAGCAGTCCAGGATGGTCCTTTTCCTCTTTGGCCCAGAGGACACGACATCCACTATTTCCAAAAACAATTTGAAATGTGGACTCGTCAGACCAAAGAACACTTTTCCACTTTGCATCAGTCCATCTTAGATGAGCTCGGGCCCAGAGAAGCAGGCAGTGTTTCTGGATGTTGCTGATAAATGGCTTTCGCTTTGCATAGTAGAGTTTTAACTTGCACTTACAGATGTAGTGACGAACTGTATTTACTGACAGTGGTTTTTTTGAAGTGTTCCTGAGTTCATGTGGTAATATCCTTTACACATTGATGTCGATTTTTGATACAGTGCTGCCTGAGGGATCATTCTTGCAATTGTACTTTGTTCTCAAACTGTTCGACTATTTGCTCACGCAGTTGTTCACAAAGTGGTGAACCTCGCCCCATCCTTGCTTGTAAATGACTGAGAATTTTTGGGGAAGCTGCTTTTATACCCAATCATGGCACCCACCTGTTCCCAATTAGCCTGCTCACCTGTGGGATGTTCCAAATAGGTGTTTGATGAGCATTCCTCAAATTTCTCAGTATTTTTGCCACCTTTCCCAACTTCTTTGTCACGTGTTGCAGCCATCAAATTCTAAAGTTAATGATTATTTGAAAAAAAAAAAAAAAGTTCAAGTTTATGAGTTTGAACATTAAATATCTTGTCTTTGTAGTGTATTCAATTGAATATAGGTTGAAAACGATTTGCAAATCATTGTATTCTGTTTTTATTTATGTTTATCACAATTTCCCAGCTTCACTGGAATTGGGTTTTGTACGAGATTTTCAACTCAATTATTGGTGGGGTACTCTCAGCATTAGTTAGATTTTTGAAAGACTTTAAAAGTGCCGTCTTTTTCCCTGTTCTATATTTTTTTCCAGTGAAGGGAAACTCGGACTGATCATGAGGTTGCAGAAGTCTGCTCACTATTGCAACTGTTTTTTTTTCTGTGAAACTTGAAATCTTTTAATCATTAATATCATCGATAAAACAAAAAAGAAATGTAATATCAGCCCTATGTTAGCCTGTCGATGTTTGTCTCATCTATTGTACCTGCTGGATATTGTTGTTGTAAACACAGCAGCATATTGGTGAAGTGGTGCGATGCTGCTCCCTTCTGGTGGATATCGGCACTACAAGGGTACTCAGCTCTAAGGTTAAACTTTCTAAAATACTAAAATAAAAACGTTACAAACCAATTGAGAGTGTTGTGTTTTTAGTTTTGTTAAAGTTTAGATATTAATTATCATAATTCAACTTGTAAAAGACATTGTCAAGTAAAATATTCATCAAGATAGTGTGTTTAACATGAGTGTTTTTATTCCCAATTACAGACTGGTGGACTAAAATCAGAGAATTATCAATACCAAATGTTTTCTTCTGGCCAAATGTCAAATGATCATGTAATTTATTTCCTGCAGGAGACACAACAGTCGATCATCTAGAAAAGGAGCATCCTGTCATTTCTTCAGCTGCTGGGAAGGTGAAAAATATGACCACATGCACAGCAGCCTGAGGGAAAGAGCAGCTCTACACCGATGAGAGAAAGTGAGGGGAGGAAGTGGCTCAGTCCATCTGGATGTGGTTACATCGTGAGCTTTATTTTTTTTTGATGATGTGTATTCATGTTGTTGCAGGTTATTCATGGCTGCAGTCGCTCCAGGATTTAGCCTCTTCCATGAAGATTTGTGCCCTTTAGTCATCTGCATGAAAGCTGCTCAGGACAGAGCGAAGAGAGTGGTAGGTGGGTTTGTATTTGGTCCAAACACAGAAGAGTCACCATGGAGATTGTCCCTGGACAGACACCAGAGCACTGTCATATGTCATGGTGAATAACATCCATTCATAAAACAAGAGCTGCACCACCTCAGGGAAAAAACGCAAGCATGGTTTGAATGTAGCGCAGTTTATGACGAGCCACAACTCCATCAATATTCTACAACCACTATATAACACAACAAAAGTGTTTTGCATGTGATATTAAATATCTTTTTAATGTCAGTTATTATTCATACACTGGGAAACTTTTTGGCACCCTTATGGATGAAATAATGCATCAGACTGTTATGAAAACCAACCAAAAGGATAACATAGTAGATAATGTTGATAAATTGGCAACCAAATAATTAAAAATTTGTTTAGGGTGTCCCCTGCCTTCGCCCGAAGATGCTGGGATAGGCTCCAGCCCCCCTGTAGTCCCTAACGGGAATAAGCGATAGAAAATGGATGGATGGTCCAAAGCTCATTAATTCAGAGAGAATATTTAAATGGTTAATTTCTTTACATGTTTAAAGCATTGAGAAAGCCACTTAAGGCTGTGAGTGAAGCCAAAATGAAAGACAAGGCAAGGCAAGGCATCTTTATTAATACAGTGCATTTCATACCAAGGTAACTCAATGTGCTTTACATAAAAACAAACACAGTTAATAGCAGGAGTAAAAGATAAGGTTTGAAATTATTAGATTTATTATTGGATTTAAAAGCGCTTACCGTTGGGGCTAGTTTCGGTTCTGCTGGTAGTTTGTTCAAGTTGTGTGCAGCATAACAGCTAAATGCTGCTTCACCATGTCTGGTTTGAACTCTGTGCGCCACTATCCGACCTGAGTCAGTACATCTCAGAGCTCTACTGGGTTTATACTCGACTAACATGTCATGTATTCTGGACCAAAACTATTCAGAGGTTTGTAAACCAGTAGCAGAACTTTAAAATCTATCCTGTAGCTGACTGGGAGCCAGTGTAAGGTCTGAAGAACTGGGGTGATATGATCTGATCTCTTTGTTCTGGTTAAAACTTTAGCTGCAGTGTTCTGAATGAGCTGCAGCTCAAGTTTTAACAAGACTGACAACTGTGCAAAACACTTGAATGCATCATAGCCAAAGCTCCATGTGGACTTCTCAGTAGTAAGCGTTTGGGTGGATGTGCGTCTGAGCGACTCAACTGACCAGTGAATCACACCCCTAAGGAATCCCTCATCTAGCTATGAAGTTATTTGTGTAGGACAACATCCAGATAGCACATCTATACTGTCTGTCCTTTAACTTTCTTAGACCAGACCAAACTGGAGGAGGTTGATATCAGTTAATCCTCACACTGATACTGAGCTACAGCCTGCCTTTACCTCATCAAACCATCCCTCCCCCTCCTTCTCGCCCCAGCCCTCTCTAGTGCCCCAGGAGCTCTCCAGTCATCAGGAACGGCAGCTTTATCTCTGTTTAGAGTTCCCAGGACGAACACAGCATCCACTTGAGATACGCTGAAGAGCTTGAGCATCAGAGCGCTGCTGCTCTCATAACAGAGGATGTAAATGTTAGGCAGTGCAGTGACAGGAGAATCATGCTTTGTGTATGTGCCTGCAAAGGACATTGTATGGGTAGTGTCAAATTTGAAAAATGGAAACTATGAGTACATTTTTCTGCATAAAGGGCATGTCCTTATCCTGCAAAAATGACTCATAATACCTCCCTGTGATTGTTGCACTTTGCTCTCCTCTGAGAAGATGCTCCAATAATATGCCTGTTTTATATCTGCCTTTAGAGATATAGTTGATTTTTTTTCCCCTTCTCAATCAGCCATATGAACTTTCTCTTGACGTGACTCATTTGTGCACCAACACGGGTTCAGTTCCCTCTCCAACTTCATCTTTTTTAACAATGTGGAATAAATGATAATGTTTGCCTGCAAGATGGAAAATAAATACCAGAAATCAAAGTTTTGTGAAGACAAATGTGCATCGTAAAAATTGAGCACATCGTAAAGTTTCAGAAACAAACTGAAATCCAAAGTAGTTTGATCCCGCTCTCCCTTTGTTGAGCTGATTCAGCAGCTTACATAAATGTTTCCATTTCCAGTGTGAATTGTGAAATTCAGGGTTAGTTTTGTAAAATTCTGAACCTCGTGAAAAGTCTATGGATCTTTTCATATACCGTCTCGCTTTCACATGTTTTTTTTTTTTGAAGTGCTGAAATGTTTTGGTAAATTTTGTTGTTTGCAAAGGGTTTTGTTGGTCAAGTTTTGTCATGTTTCACTGACCGTATGGGCTAAAGCAGTCAAGGCCTGGCTTGAAACAACGTCTACAATCAAAATGCTCTTGTATCATAACGTATCGTAGAGTATTGCGTTGTATCATATTAAACTATATCCTTTAGATTTGTATTGTATCGTTTTGTATCAGACTCTAATGTATCATATTTTATCATATCAGACCGTATGTTATTGTACCGTATCGTATTGTATCCTATCGGACCATATCGTATCATATCAGGACATATTCTATCGTATTTTACCTTACCCTACCATATCATATCGTATTGTATCGCATCGTATCATATCAGGACATATTCTATTGTAACTTACCGTACCGTTTTGTATCGCATCACACCGCACCGTATCGTATTGGGACATATTCTGTCGTATCTAACTGTACCATACCATATCGTATTGTATTGTATCGTATCAGGACATATTCTATTGTATCTCACCATACCATACTGTACCGTCCCGTTCCGTTTCGTATTTTATCGTATCGCACCGCACTGCACTGCACAGTATCTTATCGTATCAGGACATATTGTATCGTATCCAACCGTACCGCATCATATCATATCGCACCGCATCGCACCACACTGTATCATATCGTATTGGGACATATTCTATTGTATCTTAATGTATTGTATCTTATCGTAATGTATCCTATCGGACCGTATCGTATCGTATCGTGCTGAATCAAGTTGTGTCATATCATATTACACTGTATCATAACTGTGTATTTGAAGGGCTAAAATATGTTTGGTCCTTTACTGTGCTCAGTTTATGACTTGAAAAACAGCCTGTAACATCAAAACATACGTGAACAATGTATTAGAGATGTTTCTCGCGGTAATCTCATTCATCTTAATCCATTATCAAAGTAATTATCAGTTTGCAGATATGTGACTCTGTTGTGTCTGTTTCCTTGCTGTCTGTCTCCCCTTTCCTCTCTTCCTGCTCCCTCCGGTGATAAGATTGCTGCCCTTTCTCAGGCTATCGCTTCGAAGGCAAAAGGCCACTTGAGGAATGACAGGGGCCAACATGACTGACATTAGCCGCTCTCGCCTCAGCAAATTTCACTCTCTTGTATGGAGAACTGCTGACAACTCATTACCGGTTAAATACCTTCTGCGGGCATACATTTGTTTTTGTTTTTTAAGGTCGTGCCGTGTTCCTTTCTCAGACTGGGTGGAGCTGATGCTTTGTTAGATCAACTGCTGGCTAGCTGGGTTTACTGTCATGTGGTAATTATGTCGGAAACACGCGGCGCATGAAGATGTTTGGAACAACTTGGCATGCAGACACTTAACTGGAACCTTAACATTAACTGGATCACAGGGGAAGGAGTGTAGTCAGCGGGACTGCCTCCAGCCCAGAAAACTCCCCAATTAGAAATAAAAGAAAATGTCTGTTGGGGTTGCGTTAGCTGTAAGTTGAATAGGAACCAGATTGGGAAAATGATCACACGGATCTGACGAGCTTTGAAATTTTTGAGATTTCTATGATGAAGTGTGACAAGCTGTAGTTCGGATATGGCACTAAAGGGAAGATTGAAACCCAATGTGAAGGGAAAATATACTTTAAGAGACACAATCTGCTTTGTTAGGTTTTCTTAAATCTTTATACACTTGCTGTATACCAAAGTATTTCCTTCTCACGTGTTTTTATCAATGACCTCTGTAGAAATGGTGACCTCTTGACCCCCCTCCAGCATTGACTTAATTTGGCTAAAAACGCTACATGTGCATGATTCAGCATGTGATGACTCAAGCTGCTTTTAACTCTTTAGGAGTTTTAAAAATTAAAGGTATAATACCAAGAATAAAAGTACATCTCAACTCCAAAGTGATGAACTTGCTAGTTTTAAATTTTCAAGATTGTACGGGACATAATTACTCTACTCTCCCATCATAAATGCTCAAGTATCCAGTCCTGAAAAACATGCAGACTGATAAAAAACCCATGAAATCATGATGTGGAGAACATCACCAGAGCTCTATGTCTGCACTATGATCTGTTGCTGCCGTCAAACTATAAATCTGGATGAAAGAAAATAAACTTTTCAGTGGGGACTATTACGTCTGACGCAAACTGCAAGACAGTGTTTCTGCTGCCATGAAAATGATATACAGCAAGCATGCAATAGTTTCTTATTTAATGCACTTATTCTTCCTTTTTATGACACTTGGCATCTTCCCAGATTTTTATTATTTGTGCCCCTGTGATTGAAACCCTGAAAAAATGATGAGCGGGATTTTTTGATAATTCAAACAATGGAAAAATGAACCGTGGCGAAGATTGACGATATGAAGTTAAAACCAAAGGATATAACTTTTGAGTTATCTCTGAAAGGTTGTTGAAAATCAAAATAAAAGATTGAAATGAATTTATGATTGAAAGAGACAACCTACAAAAGAGTTTTGGTTTGTATGAGTAAGTCAAGAAAGTTCAGAGAGAGTGTCGTGTGTTGTGCTTGTTACAGGGGAAACATGTTGGCATGGAGCCACAACCCACAGGATCAGGACTCAGAGGAGGGTTATTTTTGGGCATGTTCAGGTGCCTGAGGCCCCGTCAGAAAGCCCTTATAAAGAGCTCCTCTCAGAGCGGGTGGAAAGTGGGTTATCAGCCTCACTGTCGCTCCTCGATGGGGCCGACTCGTTTGCATCTAGTCAACACCTTCTGCCTCTCTCTGGCACTGATCCGACCCCGGCTCCCTGAGGCGACCTGTGGCCTTGCTGAGCACTTTGAAAACATCTCTTTCTACGCTCACTCTTCTGCTTCTTGATTCACTTTTAATCTTTTGTTTAGTTCATCCAAAAAACATTTTCCCTGACCTTCTCCATGCTCCTTTTTTTCTCCCTATTTTTCACGAGTATTACATTATTTATAAAGAACTGGAGCAGAGGTGTATTTTAACTTCAGTGGATCACCAGAACACTTTGGGCTTGATGGGATTTTAAAGTAAAGCTAACTTTGAATAAATCTACATATTAAAATGTTCATAAAGAGTGTGAGTGTGATGTTGTACGAAGTCAAACTTCTGATTCTACACAAAAATGAGTTCATGCATTCTCACTGCAAAGCCAAAAGTGAATGTTTTGCACCCAAAAATTTGACATCTAAGGTTTTCCTCTTATATATTTGAACACTTCATTCATCTTACACTATTTAAGCTCCTCTGCATTTGAGTTGTAGTATTTAGTTTGATACTTTACAAGCCTGGGCGTATTAAAAAACGTTATTACCACATCTTTCCGCTCTTCTTCTCGACTTTCTTAGTCTGAGGAATGTTTTCCCAGACTCTGTTTTCACCCTCCGTGAGCGCTCTGTCTCTTTGTGGTTACACACTTCATTTGTCTTCTCCAGGATCAGAGCAAAAAAAAAAAAAAAAAAAAAAAAACCTTTATAATCACTGGACATTGAAACCGGGGAAGTTAAGACGAACTTTGGATAACAAGACGACAAAAACCGTAACAAGGTAGCTCTTGAGAAAAAATGCCTCCCCAAACAGAGCTTTGTATTAGTGGGTTCAATCATGTTATGCCAAGCACAAATATTATTATCATCTATTTAAAATAAAGTTTTTAGCTTTTAAAGTCTTTCAAACATTAATTATTTAATGGTCCTCCAAGAATATATGTACAGTAAAAATGGATTAAACAGTCAAACTTTAAAATTCAGTGTAAAATTAAAGAGCAAAAACTTTCATTTGCACTATTTAGCTTGCATATTTAAATGTTTGGAAATACAGAAAAAGTCCTGATTGTAATCGATATAATCAGATTTCTTATAAGTATAGTTTTAAGTAGCTTGATTTCTGCAGCTGTTACAACCTTTGAAGTATAACTTTTGCAACATGATCCAATTTAACCCTTTTTTTAACACAGTGCAAAACTATTTTAATTAACATTTTAGCTGTAATTCTTAAACTTTTTCTTCATGTAATTTTTCTATGTTAAGATGTTATTTATTTCAGCCTAAAGAAAGCTGAATTATGCGTCTCTATTTCCTTCTGCACTTAACTTTCTCACCAAAAGATGGCGCCATAGCTCTGATCCAAGCCAAGTCTGAGAGCAACTCCAGGTTCTCGATGGTGGTTACAGTTTTGGGTGTTTGTGAGCTGGTTTAAGGCGATTATAGTGTCAGAGCTGACAAACTGACAGTGTGGAGATGTTGGTCTAAAGAGCCGTTTATCAGGAATCACTCAAAGGTTTTAAAAACTGCATCTTTTGATGAGAGGTTTCTACTTTTCTGTGACTTTTTTCTCTCAGAGTAGTGTGGTTGTGGGCGTCTCTTGGAAGCTAATATCTACATCCATCCAGGTGCAGAGCTAACAGGTTATATACTTTACATCTGGCGTGTTGAGTAATATAGATGTGAAAGACGGAATGACCCAGAAATCACAGTCATATAGTGACTCTGAGGGAGGAGGGGTGCTGTAACCTTTTCCATAAGGAAAAAACGGAAGGCTCTGATTGGTTGAGGACTATTTTCCCATCTCTCCCCCCACAAGCTTCCTCCCCTTCCCCCTTTACACCAGACCTTGGATGGCACGCAAGGCCTTGACCAGCGCCGCAGCATGGCGCCAAGGGGGTACACAGTTAGCGTGTGTGTGTGTGTGTGTGTGTGTGTGTGTGTGTGTGTGTGTGTGTGTGTGTGTGTGTGTGTGTGTGTTTTAGCCAGTTTAGAGGGCTGAGACCCCGGATATGTTGTGGAAGTGTGCAGTGGACAGGGGCCAGACAGGACGTGACCTCTCGGAGGAAGCTCGGCTGGCCCTATAGGCCAAGTGCCTATCAATCAACACCCTTTGTCCCGCCCACAACGGACCACTTCAAACACACCGGGATAGAACCTGTGGTCAGATCTCTAAATTTATCTTTCGTATTGATGACTAAGTTATATCATGTCACCCATCACCACAAAGACAGATAAAAGTTGTTCATTTCATCAGGAGAAAAAAGAGCTCTTACAGTTTTTATTATTTTTTCAGTGACAGAAATCTTTGCTAACAGTGTTTTATTTTGCAGATTGAATGAGAAAAGTTTGCACGGTGCAAAATATGAGAATTTTAACCTTAATTTTTGTGATAACTTCAGTATTTTAGATGTAGCTCTACTAACTAAAGTCTCAGCTTGAGACTTGGATGTGAGCTGGTCACCTGTAGCTGATAAACTTGATTATTTATCGCTCTTTTGAACCCCACTGTAATTTAACATCGCCACTTTCATTACTCCCAACCCATTCGAACAGCAGATCAAAGCTCCAGATTGATTCCCCTCTGCCCGGGGTCGAACCTGCACTTCGGACAAATGACCATCAGGTCAGGAACTTCAGTTCCGCTGAGGGTAGAGGCCAAGAGCCTTGGACTGACCCTAGAGTCACACCACTGTGCTGTGAGCTGAGTCTTCCAGCGTCCACTTTCAGATAAAAAAAGGGTCTTTTGTTCAGTGATGGCAGAGAAACAGCGACAGTGAGGATGATAATGATGAGGTGATGGATTCGTGCTGACTGAAGAGGTTATTACAGTTTGTTTAATGTGGGCAATATGGGGGTCTAAGTATAAACTTGACTTCAAAATGTCATAATGTTTTCCTTTTATTTGAACATCTGGATTAGTTGGAAAGTTGACTTCATGTTTGCTGCAGTTTTGCCAAAAGTGTTGCTGAATGGGATCCTCAAAGGGAAAATCGCATGTTTATAAGCCGCCAATCAACCTTTGAGCTCTAGTTTTCTCGTTTGTTGCACACATGATACTATTTATGTTGTTCCTGATCTCTGTCAACTTTGGCCGATTCAAATCTGTCTAAATTTTCTTTCTGGGAAAAATCACTTCGATTAAAGTGACATATTAGTATAAGAAGAATATCAAATAATAGACAACAGGTTTAATGTGTAGAGAGAGGACAATAGTGAGAATGTCTGTGTTGTTCATGCTTGGTAAAGAAAGAAAAAAGACTAAAGGTGCTAATTAACAGAGCTGTCAGTGCTTCCTTGAAGAGAAGTGAACTTGCCGATAAGCAGAGTGGCGGGTGGAGGGGAACTGGTGGGGCCCCCATCCCATCTGGACCTTGTTCTCCAGGAGAGCAGGGCTGTGAGCAGGGCCGTGGCACAAAAGAGTCTCTAGAGTGAGATCTTGACGGCATATAAAAGGAAAAAATGACGTGATTTTGGGATGTTGGACCAAATTGATTAGCTCTCAGTTAAATTTTTGTAAAAATGTGAATAAAGTTTGCAAAGATGGGATTTTAGATGGATGTGGAGTTTTTATATGTTGCCACAGGAGAAACCAAACTATCTTTGTGTAAACCATTTTTATAGACAACATGGGTTTGGATTTTTGGCAATTTTATGTTATGGCTTTTGTTTTCAGGTCAAAACTGTTTCTTGTTACATATTTGTTTCAGATTTTCCTTTAAGAATCTAAATTTTACAGTAAAATAAATGAAAAATCAAGCTGTTACACATTAAATTAAGCAAAAAGTGTGTGGGGTCTCATTTTCTTCACAATCTATACAAAAAAAAATCAATTTACAAACTGTTTCTTAAGATGAATTTTCCTCCGCTTTCTTTTTCTGTCATCTTCAGCAGTGCATCCCCGATGCTCAAGTGTGATCCTGTGACTCCGGAGGGCCGACGTAGCTCATCTCCTGCAGGTAATCAAGCATCATTCTTTCATGAGGCTGTGAGTGTTCAGGAGAGACTCTGGATCTCCCCTGCTGCTTCTGCCAGCAATACATCCTGCTACACGTTAGGGAACATGACAAGCGCACTCCCTCCCAGCTCATTGCACCTGAACACACTCCTCCATCTCATGACATGATAGGTCAAATCGGAGCTCTCGCCGCTGCGCTTTGGTGAGTCAGGCTGCTGCAACCGACCTGAGAAAGGAGATGTAGAGGTTATTGATTTCATATTATGTCACATATTTACAGCATGTAGCTTGAAAAGTCTCATCTCATTGAACAGCATGTCAGCTCATGATGCCTCATAAAAATCCTCATAGTTACCAAAAAATAAATTCACAGTACTTGAATATATGAATTTAAGCAGCATGGTTGTAAAAGATGGATGTAAAACTTCAATAGGATTAAGATTTTGACCCCTGAAGTTTTGTGAACTCACTGTATCTTTGCCATCACATAAAAAAAAAAAATCTTTGAATCCTTTCTGAATGAAGAGTTTGACAAGAGTTTAAACATTTTTCAATCTGCTGTCGTTCAACTATGTCTCAACATTTCCAGACTAAAGCTGCAGGGATGTTTGGCTTTAAGGCAGCAGGGAAATTGAAAACACTAAGATTTCATAAAATGATACACTGACTGCAGCTTAAAACATGTTTCCTGAACTTCCGACACAAGATGAAAGCAAATGCAGAATGAAATCTCCTCATACTATATAAAAAAAATCAATATTATAAATTACTGAGTTTATGTAGCTTAAATTTTGTTTAAAATACTCCAATTCCACAGAATTGCAACAACACTTGTTACTTTAAATGTGTGTATGCCATCCTTTACTGCAAGAGTCCTGTCATTCAAACAAAAGTGCAGGAAAATAATAACAAAGCTTAAACACAGTACAGCGTAAAGTCTTGATAAATATCTAAAGTAAGCTGAACTTTTTTTTTCTTTTTCTAACTTTCACCTTTATCTTTAATTCCAATAAAATCCTTCAATGGATAAGTGTGGGAAATTAGCATCAGCTGGGATACTCCCATCAGATTGCTGCTCCCAGTTTATCTATGAATATTGTCAAACAAACCGTACATAAACAAATATGTTTAAAAGTCTATTTGCATATCTTGAAAGTCACCCCCTGAAATAGTTGTTTGCCCCTGCCAAGCCTCCCCTGTATTTTTTATTATCTGAACTCACATTTACTCATCTAGCTCTCCTAATCTGTTCGAAATTAAGCAGAACGTAAACAAAATTCACAGATATCAATGCCATGATTGGTTCGGTAAATGGCAATCAACAAATCAACAACAAAAAAAGAAATTACTGAATATCATTGGACGCTTACTTAACATTGCAGACTTCATTAAATTATCAAGATATTTCTCAAAGTGTCATCAGAAATTAAGGCTCTCAAGAGTAAAAATCTAAACTTTAAAGATAGTTTTTTACCTTAAATTTTAAAGGTTTAGTTCACTACTTTTTAAGGTTGAACAGGACTCCCTGAATTATGTGCTTTTTAAGCTTTTCTGAAAGCTGTGTGAGACCTGGAGTTATTTTGTCAACATGGAATCAGATGATTTGTTTTGTATTCTGTCCTGACTCTGATTTTAACAGTGCACATGTTAAAATGATGCAGATATCCTTAATGAAAGTTCAGTTTCCTCCTCCATGTTGAAATTAAACCCACAACTTTTTCCCACTCTGTATGTGTGTTTGGTATCTGAAGCTTATTTTTAGGCGAGTGAAAGAAGTTTGAAAAGTTGGCCACAGGAATCACATGTTAATAAAACTTTGGGGGTTTCATAGTTTGGTCTCACAAAATCCGCCCTTTTTTATTCTTGACTACTGACCTGCTTTTAGGAAATGCACACACAACAAAATACTAGAAAGTGTTACACTCATGTGGTTGAAGATGGGATAGGATGAGTGGGTCTGATTTTTTGAGATGGGGCTTAATCTGATCCCATCTTTAAGTCGGGTCTTTGTAAATAGAGTATGTGTGTATGTGCGTGCTCATTGGTCATCATTTGCGGCCTGTGTGCGTGAGACACAGTTTTATCAGTGTGGTTCACTGGTTCAACAAAAATGGTTGAAATGATATCCAGAGCTCAGACATCAAACACCGGAGGCCAGCTGAGTTATGGTGCATCGATCGAGAGCAAGAACAAAGGCAGCGATGGTTAAGGGGATGGAAATGGTGGAAGAAAGAGATAGATGAAGCAGACAGAAGACAAGCAGCTCTGGGGTCTGCAGCCGATTCTGTTTTCAGGGTCTGAGGCTCTGGGGTTTATGTCAGTCAGGATCTGGAGGAAAAGTTGCTCCCCTGAGAGAAAGAGCGGAGAGTGAATGAGGGAGAGATGCAAGGGGATGTGTGGGGCACTAAGGGTCTGGATGAGAGGTGAAATTAACCAGGTGCCCTCCTGGCCCAGCTGTCAATCCGCTGCTCTCCCTCCTGCTCCTCTACAGTATGACTTTGTGGGATTTTTGAAAAACAGAGCCTTAAGTCAGGTGCTGCATGGCTGGTGAGATCCCGTCTGTTTTTCTAAGCCAGAACTGTTGTGTATGCGAACATGTCTGGATGGTGATGAATAACCTGGCCCTCCTCGGTTATCTCCACTTCCTTTAGAGTTCCAAGTGAGTGCCAGATGTAGCTATTCATCTTAATCTTTCCTCTCATTTAGCCTCGATGTAGCTGGAGGCCGTTTCTCTTTTCATTACATTATCAAACATGAGAAGGACGTGTCGATATGAGAAAATAATCTGGATGTGTTGACTATATCATCACAAGTGCTCATAAAACAACACAATAATAGAAAAATCAGTGCGGTAATAGCTGCAGACGCTGTCTGACAAAAGACGCGTGACCTGGGGAAGCTCCCTCATGTACGCATAAAGATTTAATTTCCTGTAGACATATTAATGCTAATGCATTTGAGATGTAGTGGAATAAAAAGCTTTTGAGCAAAGCCGCCCTGAGTGTTGAGTTAGAGGAGATGGGACTTCTCACACCGGTGTATATGTCAAGCAGGGTTCCTTTAAGTGACCTTACATTGGGTTATGAAATATTAAACAGCCCACTCTGGACTGATCTTCTGGCTTCTATTTGTGACTTCTTAAATATCTGAGTCAGTCTGCCAAACCTTGTGAAAAATATATGATTTCATGGATGTGAAAGAAAATATTATAAATAAATGAGCAAAATATACAAAATTTTTAAGTTTTGGGCCATTTTATGAAAGAGTAAAAGAGTCTATCCTGAAAGAAGAGATGAATTTCCTGTTCCCACCGCAGACTGACAGCCTGCACACAAGTATGTTTGCAATTAACAGATTTTAAATGATGTCATCCTCAGCGATGACAGACCACTAGCTTCTGTGGCGAAGAAGACGCATCAAATACGGATGTGCACGCCGCTCACAGCTGCAGCGTCAGGAAACAAAACTCGCTGTGACTGAGAATGCTCATGTCACTAGTGTAATTTCTGACACGTTATTCATCCAATTAACTCAAGAGACTTTTCCCTTTCTAGCTTAAGACAAGTTAGAATAAGGCTATGTTCACACTGCAGGTAACCATATGTGACACATATGTGATTTTTTCATGTAAGTGTGAACAGTGCAATTCTGATTTTTTTTCAAATCTGACTCAGGCCTCTTTTGTATCTGGATGTAAATCGGATATGTAACCGACAGACGCTCAGGCTGCGTTCATCCGACCTATACGTCATCAATATGCGACAAACGTCACCATTATTCGACAATGTCACGTCATGTCCTGCTTTGTGCGCATGCAGGTCAATTAGATGCCGCATTTGTTGTTGTAATGTGAACTATCGCACAAAGAGATTGGATTTAACAAAAAATCCGAATTGTGCATCAAAACCTGCAGTGTGAATGTAGCCTAAGAAACTATTAAAATACATAGAGTGAAAACACTTTTAAGTCTGGTGTTTCATGTCAGATGTTTCAATATACTCCTCAAAATTTCTCATGTCTCTTAAAGTTAATTATTAATCAAAAAGCAGCGTAATGATAGGGTGACCATACGTCTTCTTTTAACCGAACATGGCCTCTTTTTTGGGGGCTGTCTGGCTTTGTCTGGGAACGTTTATAAAATCCTTCAAAATCTTTTTGCATGTAAGTTTCGATTTCGTGTCACGTGGACTTACTGAGTTAGAAGCGCGTAAAAGACATTCAATTCGACACGAAAAACTCTCGAAATTAACTTTGTGCGACTCTGTGACTCCGCCCCCGCATAGTCATGTCCTCTTTTTGGGAAGTCAGAATATGGTCATCCTATGTAATAATAAAAATTTTGGTTAACTTTACATTTGTAAGATCTGTAACCTAGCGCACAGCTGCAGTGCTCTACATCGGCCACTTGTACAACTAGCATGACTCAGCAAGATTCTCCTTTCCTAACCCTAACTCTAATTCTGGGAAATTTAACTAAGTTTGAGAAATGGAAGCAATTTTTATCAGTAGACTCAATGTGACTTACAGAATTCGATGGACTACAGACATTTTTTTTTTTTAAGTCTGTCCCTTCATAAATGTTGGCCCTTTTCTGCCTGTGATCCTTAACTAATATATATTATACACCAGAATATATTGTTTTTGATACTGCTGGATTTAAGAGCACATTGAAATAACACTGAAACATGTCAACAGTGTGTTCAAACTGCAGTAATGAACCAGGCCAGTGAGGAAGAGAGGACTCTATGTGTGTGTGTGTGTGTGTGTGTGTGTGTGTGTGTGTGTGTGTGTGTGGGAGAAAGAGAGAGACAGAGAGAGAGAGTGTGTGTCATGCATGTGCACATGACATGCAGTCCTTGCAGAGAGGCACATGGCTGCAGCACACACATGTACGTTCACAGTGTGGCTGCATTATGTTGCGGTAATTGATAATAAACAGGTCTCATAGCCGGGATTTTATAGCTTTTCCAGTCTTGTTAATTTCAAAAAAGAAATGCATTGGCTCTTTTCCTCCCTGATTTAACCGAGGTCTATGAACATACCTTTGTTATGGGTGCTGGTGACCAGGGCCGCTTTACACGGCTGTGTCAATACCAGAGACGGAAATCAGGTGGCTGCCACGCATGGTCCAACACTGGACAGAGTGTTCGATAGGGGATGGTTATGTGCCTGGTCACAGAACTGTTTAGTGGTTTCCTTTTCCACAGCCAGTTACTCTTGTAAGTTTTATGATACGGTACAGAAAAAAGTAGAGTTAGTATACGTTGGTGCAGTGAGGTAAGGGGGCTGACAAGGACAAACACATCACAAACAACAAAACACATCTATGATTTTAAGATTGGCTGTATATTCATCTAAATATGCAACCATATAAAATTATCAAAAACTACAAAAATACAGTAAAAATATGGTGCAATGAGAAAGCTATCAAATGTAAATATTGGCAAACAGGCAGCAAAAATAAATGATGAAAACATAAAAGCATTGCACCCAAGGGAATACACGCAACATAAAAATACTGCATATCCAGTTTTACCAATGCAAGTGCTCCAAGCCTGTAGGGGGCGCTAACTAAAGCAGAATAGACTTTGCTCTGAATGTGCTGTTAATTCACCAGTTTAGACAGAGCCGGACCAAGCCTCAATGGGGCCGTAAGCAAAATGTGATTCTGGGGCCCCCTATTTCTGCC